GTTAGAGGATGTAAGGACAGGGCTGTGGGGTGCAGGAGAAGGGGATGAGGAGGTGCGGGGGTCCGGAAATGTAGGTGCCCTCTCCCTGGCCCTCCCTAGGGACTCTTCTGGCCTCCTGGCCAAGGCCAACCTGTCCTTGGCATTGTGAGGTGCCGTGTCGGTGCCAAACCGAGCCGTGCCGTGCCGTACCGTACCGAGCCGCCAGGTGGCGCTAAGGCCCCGCCGCTACCGGCCGCTCCGGGCCGGTTCCCACGGGGGAGCGGGGACCGTCGGGGCGCGGGGACCGCATCCCGCTTTGCCATCTCGCTGGGGCACCGGGAAGAGGGCACCGGGCACTCTGACACCCCCATCTTGCCCCTCCCGGTCCCTACGGAGCTCCAAACCCCACGGCAACGCGCGGGACCCCGGGGTGATGCTTCCCCCCCACTCTCCATCCCGCACCCCCGAGGGGTGGGAGCTGTGCGGCGGCCGCCGCACAGCTCCCACCCCTCGGGGGTGCGGGATGGAGAGTGGGGGGGAAGCATCACCCCGGGGTCCCGCGCGTTGCCGTGGGGTTTGGAGCTCCGTAGGGACCGGGAGGGGCAAGATGGGGGTGTCAGAGTGCCCGGTGCCCTCTTCCCGGTGCCCCAGCGAGATGGCAAAGCGGGATGCGGTCCCCGCGCCCCGACGGTCCCCGCTCCCCCGTGGGAACCGGCCCGGAGCGGCCGGTAGCGGCGGGGCCTTAGCGCCACCTGGCGGCTCGGTACGGTACGGCACGGCACGGCTCGGTTTGGCACCGACACGGCACCTCACAATGCCAAGGACAGGTTGGCCTTGGCCAGGAGGCCAGAAGAGTCCCTAGGGAGGGCCAGGGAGAGGGCACCTACATTTCCGGACCCCCGCACCTCCTCATCCCCTTCTCCTGCACCCCACAGCCCTGTCCTTACATCCTATAGCCTCTTCCTTACACCCTATAGCCTGCTGCTTACACCCTATAGCCCCTTCCTTACGTGCTATGGCCCCTTCTTTGCAACCTATAGCCTATCCCCTGCACCCTATAGCCCCTTCCTTGCACCCTATAGCCCCTTCCCTGCACCTGACCACCTCTTTCCTGCACCCTATAGTCCATTCCCTACATCCTATAGTCCATTCCCCGTACCCTACAGTCCCTTCCCTGCACCCTATAGCCCCTTCCTTATACACTGTAGCCTTGCACCCTGTAGCTTCTTCCCTGCACCCTGTAGCTTCTTCCCTGCACCCTATAGCCTCTTCCCTGCACCTTATAGCCCCTTTCCTGCATCCTATGGCCTCTTCCCTGCACATTATAGCCCTTCCCATCCACCCTATAGCCCCTTCCCTGCACCTTATAGCCCCTTCCATGCACCCTGTAACCTCTTCCCTGCACCTTATAGTCCTTTCCCTGCATCCTATAGCCCCTTCCCTACATACTGTAGCCTTGCACCCTGTAGCATCTTCCCTGCACCCTATAGTGCCTTCCCTCCACCCTATAGCCTCTTCCCTGCACCTTATAGCCCCTTCCCTGCACCCTATAGCCCCTTCCCTGCACCCTATGGCCACCTTTGCCTCTTCAGCTCCTCCTCCACCCTCACTCTCTGAGCTGTCCCCACCCGTGTCACGCACCCCAGCAGTGGGGTCTCCTGGTGTCACCACACGCGTCCCAGGCCCAGTTCTCACCTCTACGCCCACACACCACCCACCCTGACCGGGGTGGGCGAGGGTCCCTGGGCCCCACCGCTGGTCCCGAGCCCCCCACCTTGATGCCTCGGAGCTTTAAGGCAGAGGTTTTGGGGTGCCCTGGCTCCCGGTGGGGTCTGCTGGTGGGCTGAGGAGCATCACCCGCACCCGCCATGAGCAAGGGGATGGTCGGGGGGCGGCGGGGTGATGGGGAGGGGGAGCAGGCCGCTCTCCTGCTACGCGCTCGCAGCTGCTCTGTGCCTTTTCCCGCTCTCACGGCAAAACGCGTGCCGTGGGTACGGTGGCCCCGGTGTCCGCAGCGAAAAAAAAATGGACCCCGCCCTAGCGGCGCTCCCGCCGACCGCGGCAGGACTCGAACCTGCAATCTTCTGATCCGAAGTCAGACGCCTTATCCATTAGGCCACGCGGTCGCCGATGGAATGATTGCCCCCCCCCAGTGATGCTGGCGACCCCCAGCACCGAACCCACTCTCCCTCTGGGTCCCCCCGGGGTCCCCGGGCGGTGCTGGGGGGGAACCCTCCGTGGCCAGGCTGCGGGGACACCCAGCGCGGGACCCACCGGCTGCCGTCGCCACTGGAGCAGGGGGACAGTCCCGCAGGCAGGGCTGGGGGGTTCG